ATTGTTGTTGTCCACTTGGCGTCGCCACACACATGTCAACTTCAAGATGCAACTTTTAAGTTTCTGGACACATTTATTAGACTGCTCAATAACTGACTTGAGGAATGAATCGGTGACTACAAGCTTCGTATTCCTTCGTAACATAAATGAGTAAGAGTTGCACAAAGTGCGCATGCAGAGGCGGATCGTGTGGTTAAAGGTAATAAAAAATGATGGGAGACATACATACTTAATGCTGTCTGTGTGTGTCTTGTACTCCATGATGGTGTTGGGGGGCAGGTTGAGGACTCGCCGGAGTGTATCTCTGATGCGGGCCGTGGTGGCTTGGTCGCTGGCTGTTTTGTTCCAAATGGAGATGATGTCCTCCTGGATGGACATATGACCAAACAAGGCATTGAAAAAAACATTGTAATATACTGTAGTTGCCCCTTGTGGGTGGTTCAACGACACAAATGTATTATTACTCAGGGTGGAACGGTACGCCAAATTTCTTCAGTCCTTCAGTCATGTATGTGTTTGTACTACCTGAAAGCGGACCGACACGACGGCGCCGCAGATCTCCTCGCCAACCATGAACTGCTCGCCCAGCATGGCCAAGATGAGGTTTTCCCAGCAGCGGGACGCCAAGCCTTTCCGCAAACGGATGATCCACTTGCCGCCCATTTTGTTGGCGTCGTCCTTGACACACAAAACAGTCGGCTTAGAATTAACTGGAAGCCCTACCGCGAGATAAAACACCCAAGACGCTCTCACCTCCCACATGGGTTTGATGCCTTCTTTGAAGAGATGAAAGTCACTGTGGCCCGTTAGGTCGCCTGGTCGAATCATGTGACTGTAGAAACGCCAGAACTGCTCCACCTTGGGGGTTAAATTCAGGAAGGAGAAGTACCTTCATCATCATGGACAGAGGTGTGACAACAGAAATAAAACGTTTTGGCCACCTCTGGCCACCACGTAAGCTTCGCCCCTGGTGCAGCAGTTTTGATTTCCATCCACCCATTATGATTTGAACCTTTAATGTCTGTGTGAGAACAACAGCCGTCTGCGACCTGTGCTAATTACTCTTGTCAGTCCCTCAAGGGAAAGAGGAGGCATGCATTTGGGAAAAGTCCATTTTGATTACCCGCTGGACACGAAGAAGCATCAGACAGAAGAAGTGACATACCGAAGCGAAGCTGCCGATCTGTTTGATGTTCTGCTCGTAGCTCTGAGTGCTGGCTGGCCTCCCCGGGTTCCTCCTGGAGTACCAAAACGTGTAGTTGTACTGAAGAGGGTGCTCACCCACCCCTGGGATCACCATCTATGGAAAAAAAAAAAAGAAGAGGAAGATAAAGCGGTTGGAAAGACAAGGGAGTTCTCCTCTGCTCGTGCGCCGATGCAGCAATTGTTCCAAAGCTTGGTGTAAAACAGGCAACAGATTGACACCTTTTTCCGTGTAGAGTTCTGCTCCTTGTCATCATCTTCACTTTTTTCCTTCTCACTGTCTTTCGGTGAGCCTTGGTCCTGTTCGTGGTCACCGCTGTCATCATCTTTCAGACTGGAGATGAATGAAACACACATTTGACTTGTTTTGTGCTCCACGCTGATTTGCCTTCCCCATTTTTTGGGGTGATGTCATTTTATCTTGCTAAATAACTTCAGGGTCTACGAACAAATCTTCACACGGCGAGGCCTAACATAAGGGATGCAGGTGACAGTCAAATGCGGCTCGCCGTTACGCAAACACCCAGATTTTTCCCTACCAAACAGCGCTGTGTAAAGATTCAATAGTCAGACCTCTTTAGAAGTGTTCGCACTGGTTATACAGGCTCCGAATTGTACAGGTTGAAGGTGTGTTTGATTCACTGATTTACACAAGAGAAAGCTGTCATTATTTGACATGATCCAGCTGATAGCAATATGCTAAAGCAGTGGTTGTTTAACTTTTAACACCTAATACTTAATTAGCTATCCAAGTACCACCACAATGACCGGCATTAAAATTCAATAATATAGTCGGGGCTCAGTGTTGATCAAAAACCAAGACCAATGTGTTATGTCTAAAATGTTTGATATTTTCGTAAGTCATTGTAACACGATGCAGTTTGAAGAATAGCTGTTTAAAAACAGGGGACAAACCCGTAATTATTCAATGAAAATGTATTAGACACAAAAGCTACAAAGAAAAAGCACCCGATTAAACGTTTAAAAACAAATAAAGATATGTTCAAATGTAAAACCCTTAAAAGTTAAATTCAAGTTTGGCAATGAATTTTGTGGAAAAGGTCTAAAATATTCATTACTGACTTTAATGAGGACATCAAAAATGCATCTTGTGCGTTCGTGGAAGGGACAAATGTAACACAAAAAAAAACTGGAATAATTGGTAGGAGCTAAATGTCAATTACTGCCGCTATTATTACGCAACACCGGAATATGCCTTGAAGCCGACACATCTTGCATTTCTACACCTGTACATTTGACACTTACGGGTTTTTGATTTGACACATGCACCTCCTATTTTGGTAGGCTCAGTGGTCAACATAGAGAAGGACACTGGGTAGCTAAAACCCTTCCTTCTCTTCAATGACATGGTACAAAACAGTATTTTTAAGCACTAAGTGACTACGACAATGAGTGCATAAGTGGAAAATATAATAGTGTAAATATCCGCGACCAGTTAGCACACATCATTTTGCAAGCGTTCCATTCGTTGTTCCATACCGGAGTGGGCATCAGTTTAAACCGAGCCTCCGCTCGCTTTCGCCAGCCATTCAACAACTACCACACCGTGGATTTGCGGCCTAGAGCTTCCTCCTGGGCTAAGCTAAAGCTAAAGCTAACAACATGTAAAGTTCCCTGAGATAATATGACATATAATTGCATCCAGTGCAAAGATATTCCTCCCAACGGTAGCGTGAAACGATACCGCGCACTCGCGTGGGTTTATTGGTTACCATTGCACGCAAAAGCATGCTTTTCCACAGACACGCCTCTCATTTTACACGCAACACTCCGATCAAAGTTACTTCCAAGCACCAAGTGTGAACCTCCATGGCTGCAGACGATACACACAGATATGTCCAGGTACTCACGCGTCAAATTTGTTGTTCATTATTTTGCAACAGGGAGTTTCTCGTAGGGCGACCTCAGCCTCCAGTAGTGAGTTCCGCAGGAAGGGTGGCGCGCAAGGCGCGTGGACGTGGACATGCAAAGCGCATGGTTTGCCGGCTTCGCCGGTCGTGATGGTGCAAGGTTGAATTGAATGCCACGTACATTGGAGTACGTATCATTTTGGACTATTGTATTGTTACAGTAATTAGAAACACTTCATTTAAAGTTCCAGAGGTACCTTGATTTCAGAGTTTAACTTGTCCGGTGTAATGTAGCGTAACCACCTTCGTAACTCAATAGCTCGTAATTGAAATACATTTTTTTCCTTTGAAATGAATTGAAAAGCTTTGATCCGTTACTCCACCCCCACCGCAAACAGCCACGATTTTTCTTTAAAAAAAAAAAAAAAAAAAGCAGTTTAATGAATAAATAAAAAACATAAAAGAGAATCTAAAGTGAGTGGGACTTAGGTCTGAATCGCTACTAAGGTATTCATCCCTTACAATAAATAGTTGAAAATGCATCAGCGACTGTGGGACTGCTCGTCCAAATGCGAAGGCATGACAGTTCCATTATTGCAGGATATTTTTCCCCACTTCACTCAAAGCGGTGGCGTATCTGAAGCTCGATGGTTATTCGAATAGTGTATTTCTGGAATGTTGTCCATTCACTAATATGGGGTAGGGAACTCCGGTTCCTCGAGAGCCACATCGTGCCTGTTTTCGATCTTTCGTTACTTCTACTACACACCCGATACAAACGATCAGCTCATCAGAAAGCTATGTTGAAGCCTGAAATGATGATCATTTCAATTGAATCAGGTGTGTTGGAGTAAGGAGAGATCCAAAACAGGCAGGAAATGGGCTCTCGAGGAACCGGAGTTCCCGACCTCTGCGCCAAAACATGATCTTCATACAAGGGGGGTTGGGGGTTCAATCCTCGGCCATTACGACCTTGTCGAAGTGTCCTTGAGCAAGATACTGAACCCCAAGTTGCTCCTGATGCTGCGTCATCAGCTGGTAAATGAAGAAGCAGTGTAAAGCGCTTTTGAGTCCCACGGCTAGAAAAGCGCAATGTAAGTGACAGACCAGAAGACACTTAACCTTCTGCCATCTAGTGGAAGAGAATTTAGTTGTTCTGGTGTAACTATAAGTCGCGAGCACATGATACTACTACTACTAATAATAATGCATTACTCGTTGTAAACAGGTAATTCTCAGACAAATTAAGTGAAATTGGCAGCGATGGGTTCGCTACGTCACCCAATTTGGGTTATTTTCAAGGCAGCAGTGTTGAGTGTTGTGCCAATCATATACTGTATAGATTTTGAATGTCCTTTTACTTCTTGATACTGCCATGCGGCTTTTATTTTTTTTTTCTGACAATAAAGCAGCATTTAATTCAGCCATCAATTATCCGTACCACTTTATTGTCACAAGTGAAATAATTCTGTTGACATGAGGTAGGTGTGCAGTCAGCGCCAGAAAAACATACACGCAACTCCTCATGAACTTTTTATTTTTCACATGGATCTTTCAAATCAAAATCTTCAAAAAACAAAACAGTACAACACAACTCTTCTTCTTTTATCCTTCTGCTTGGCACTGTAATCCAGTGAGTCAATCATCAGAAGGCCTTTCTATGACAGATATGGTGGATGAGCAAGAGGCAAACCCGCTGCCAAACGCGCACGGCCTCAACACAAAACCAATTGGCACCCTCTTCACACGGGCCGACCTCCTCTGATGTGCCGCATCCCTTGTTTCATCCCTCGCATCCTGCTGCTCGTCATCTGTTCTCGCCGCCACTTCGGAGGCTCCGTTCGGGTCGGAGTGGTGGTCCGAGGGGGGACGGAAAAGGGAGCTGAAGGCTGGTCATGCCATTGGTAACCATATATAGACATCTGGAAGTGTGCTGTTGTGCTGTGTGGATGATTTACTAGGTGAAAGCGTCACTACATAGGGATGTTTAGATAGTGGACTATGTTGCGATTAGGTTGCAGCAGCTATGTTCAGAATCATTCACTCATTCCAAATTCCCTTTGCATTGCTTTAGTCACTGCTCTGCTTGACGTGTTTCTTTTCACAAAAAGCTTACGCCTTTTGGTCAGAAACCGGTGTCAACGCACAGTATGTCTGTAGGTCTTATCATTTCCCTGGTGGGCAAAGCGCAAACATGAGAGTGAGCAACACAATACCCACTCAATTATCATGATGCACAAACCGTTTAACAATTTATTACGTTATGTTATACCTGCATCTTTTCAAATGACGAAAACGACACAGTCCACTCGTCATCCGTTTGAAAACAAAACACTACATTGATGCGCAGTTAATTACGTTATTGTGGTTCGCATAATTACATGGTAATGGATTAATGTCAGCATTAATTTCATACAAAGCATTTTATGTCCATCCCTGCCTTTTCCTGTCTCGACGCAATGCATCATGGGATATATTGCTTTTCAACTGACCATCAGTTGGACACAACTTTTCACAATGCACTGTCGGACACATTGAGGTCACTTTTATAGGGGATGACTTGTACTCACAACATATTCCAACAGCACTACAAAATACCCAAGTCGCTATATAGCGGATAGGGAGTGATTCTGAGCACAGCCGCGCACACAGACACACACACAGTGTACGCTGAATATGGAGTGTATATGGCCGGCACTGGTGGATTGGTAGACCACTCCGGCTTGGTATGGCACGGTCGTGTCGCGGTGCAGTTTGGTTGGCTCAGCCGTTGCAGACCAACCCCTCACCCCTTGCCCGCAGCGCTTCTGTGAGGACCTTCATGAGAGGAGCCTTTGTTCTGGTCCGACGGCCGCCTCAGTGACTGAATGAGCAACAGCGGTGGCGGCTTTCTTCAATGGCGGCTGTTTGTTTACACCAGCCAGTCCCGTCATAGTTCATTAGCAGCCCAGCCCACCGACAACCCCTCTGATGTCCTAATGGCCAATGAGTGCCTCGCCGCCTATTGGCGCTGAGCCTGAGCATTTTGGTATGAAGGGGAGCGCCACCACCCCCCACACCGCTACCCCCCCAACTCACACATTCCCAGTAAGTCACAGTGCACATGTGTAGCCGTACATGTGTAGCCGTACATGTGCACACACATTAATATCAGTGGGGAGTCCTTTCATCATACGGCCAACCTCAGTGAAGCAGCAAACACGAGGCTAAAGGCTAGCTTTGCATCATAGAGATGTGAGACACCTGCAGCCCAAAAAAACACACACACACACACACACACATTATTAATGCGTTATTCACTGCTGCCATCTTCTGATCGTGTGCTTTGTTGGTCATCTTGAGTACAACACACACGATAAGCATACACATTGAGATTTTTTTTTCCTCATCGCGTCTAAGGTCTCTCATGTTTAAAAAAAATTGTTACATTAGAAATGGGTGAGCGCATACCCTGCTTTGCCATTCAAAGATAATACCATTTACTAACCTCCTGAATGGCTCTTCCCAACTTCTCTTGGCTTTTCACGACTCTCCTGAGGGAGACACAAACACACAGGTTCACTCTTATACTCTTATTAATACAGTGGTGCAGGTTCCAGTAAACCAGCTGGCAATAAACAGCTTGAAGTGAACATCATTTTTTTTATTTATTTATTTTTTTTTAAAGAACAGATCATGATGTGCTTGTTGTGAAGGTTGACGCTACTACCTAGCATTCTGAAGTAAAAACTTTGAAAGAAAAATCTCATCCGTATCGCGAAAGGACTCACGAGTCGGGTCACGCGTGACCACAAACCTGTGTATTCGCCGCGCAAGGCTGATGGTGAAGTCTGCGGCGCAGTTGGGCTGGTATGTGGATGGTACGATGAGGTAAGCTCCAAGCGGAAGAGTGCAGGACAAGCTGACATCCTGAGTGTAGCAGTGGGGAACACAACTGGCAACGGGGTCCTCACTGGGGATGGAATGACTTTGCTTCCCGGCCGGTATCTGGAAAAATCCGGAAAGTTATCCAAGTCAGCCTTAAATGTCATGTTGAGATGACTGAATGGATCATCACCTTATAAACATGGAAGCCGATGGGGAGCAGATCAGTTTCGGTACGGCTCTGGTGTAGATTAACCTTGACGTTGAGGCCCGGCAAAATTGGCTCGTCGCAAACCGTAAATGGGAAGCAGGGGTTCTGCGCGTGGGAGGGGAAGTTCCTGCTTCCTCCGGCAGACCTTCCCTCCACCCACGAGCCCCGGAAGTGATTGGTCTCCCACTCTCCGTCTGTAGTTAATGGCAGGAGAGGTGCTGGGCTCTTCAGGGCACTAAGAAGGGCACGTTTTCATGACAGATCAATTCAAAATCGAATCCAATGACAGCATCTTAGCATTAGCGATGTGCTTACCTGACGGATGAGGTAGAGGACGAGAAGACCCTGATGAGGAAGCGGGCCTCTGCTCCTGGCTGGTAGGTGCTGGGGATCATAAGGTAGTGTCCGGGCTCCAGTCGCTCGTGGAGCACCACCTCCCTCTGGTGTGCGTGGCAGTGAGTAGAAGCACATGGCGGTTTGTTCAAAGTACGGCTCAGATTAAAACGTTTCTTTTCCACCTGGCGAGGGAAGAAAGTGTTGACACAAAGCTACACGCAGATCACTTGAAAACACGTGATGGCACAAACCTTCCACATGTGTAGCGCAATGGCCTGGTAGCGCCGACGCCTTGCGTCATCCTCGAGGGCCGCGTCTGAAAGTTGTCTCGGCTTTCTGTGCTGCAGCAGAGATACGACAACCTCGCCGTTCTCGCACATCTTGAGCCAGAACTTTGGGTTGGTGCCGTAGCTGCTGCTGTTTCGACTCCCACCGGAGGAGAGGCCCTTTACCCAGCGTCCAGCGAGGTGGTGTCGGTGTGGCAGCGGGTTTCCTGTTTGAGACATCATTGGGAAGATCCTCAAGTGAAATGATGTTTTAATTTTTTGGCGTGATCAAGTTCTTAACTCCATTTTATAGACACACTCAATTCCAATGAAGTGGGGACGTTGGGTTAAACATACATAAAAACAGAAGACAATGACTTGAAAATCATGTACAACCCCAAAAACAAATCAACAACAATGACAAAAGTCAAGGTACACCCTGCAAAGTACAAATGGGGACTGTTGTACTGAACAAGAGAATTACCAGTGTAGATACTTTGCAGGTGTCCCTCCTCATTGATCGGGTAGCCTACTGTGACATCATCAAACTGGGACAGGAATTCAGACTCCTCCAACCAGAAGTCCCCCTGTGCCGCTTTGGCTTGGATGTCCAGAGCATCGGCTGAATCGAGCGACCGCCATCCCGCACCACTACACGGAGAGAGGAAGATTGAGCAAATGGTTCTGACCGAAAGCAAATCGTGCACAAAACCATTGCGCATATCGGATTGTCAGTCAGAAACATTCCATCCTCTTGTTAACTGATAATCGTTTGTGTACTCACTGCATCGTTCAATGAGAGTCAATACAAGTGCTGCATATATTTAAGAAATAGATGACGCAAGAGTACGTGAAGACGGGCTGATTCATTGGCAATTACAAATTCTATCAATGGTCTCGTGGTGATTCAGGTAAAATAGAGCGCACAACGTGGTGACTTCCTGATTCAGTCTCAACATCTGCATGGCCTGACGAAGAACAGAACATCGGCTATTGTTGCGGACTTGCTGTCCAAGGAAGACTTACGATGCTGAAAACCACTACTGACAACAAAAAAACAAACAAAAAAAATCAACACAAAAGATCAACTCACATTTTCCCAAACATTTCAAATTATTTCCCCCAACCACTACTGACAACAAAAAAACAAACAAAAAAAAAAACAACACAAAAGATCAACTCACATTTTCCCAAACACTTCAAATTATTTCCCCCTTTTTAAGAAATAAAATGGTCATTTAGCCCTGTCGCTGCACCAGTGGTGTTTGTGACCAAATAAAAAGCCTCACCCCTCTGTCCAGGCTCCTCCCCAGCAGCATCTCCCCCAGGGGTTTCTGACCCTGAAGAGTCGCACTGGGCTTCCTGCGAGCGTCTTCACGTCCAGCCACTCCATCACAGCCATGGCATGGTGCTGGCCCAGCACGCTGTCTCCTAACAGCAAGTGACATGGCTCATAAGACGATGCAATGAAAATGTAGCTTTTATGCACAAAACAAAACAAAACAAAACAAAACAAAACACACCTCCTGGGATGCTTTGAGTGGAGCAACTGAGTGCACAAGTCGCTCTCAATGTATATATGAAGTCCAGTTTAAGCCTTTTCCTCGTGGCCCGATTGTGGTTCTCCTCTGGTGTGCGCTGCTGCTGCTCCTCCTCCTCCTCCTCTGAACCAAAGTGAGACAAACTCCAGCACTCTGCAAGACCCCCAGTCAGGTCCACTAAGGCCTCAGACACCTGCCCGGCCCACAGATGCTCATATGAGCCGTGGTGTCTGAAAAGCATGGAGAACGGGGACAAATGGGTTTACTGTGTGAATCGCAAAGTAACGCAATTCTACATGTACAATATTATTGCGATAATATGTCAACGTATTGGGCCAATCTTTTCTGGACTTCTGTTTTAATGGATCAGTAGGAACAATCCAATTGCCTGGCGACTTACTTGGCGTAGGCCTTCTCCAGCAGAGCCACCCAGAAGGCAGAGGGGGCGTGGCAGCGTGAGAAGCAGAGAGCCGAATCAACACAAGGCAGGCGGTCATCGATGGTCACCTCTGTCCAGTGTCCTTTCTCCCAAAAGTGAAAGTGAAAAGATCCTCTGTACTTGCTGTCACTCCACAAAGGCTGGTGGGGAGGAAAGACCTCCAGAAAAAATTAAAGGAAGGCATTTAAATAATAACCTACCGCATTACTAGGATGACAATTGTGGATTGTTTCCTGTACCTTGTCCAAAAGGTGTCTGTTCTTGAGCAGCACAGAGCAAGCGCACAGAAACCAACAGTCTCCCAGCAAGCCTTGCTTGGCATGACTCAGGTGGATGTTGTCAGGGAATACAACTGGTGACTGGCAGATCTCCTGAATATTATTATCATTTAATGATCTGTTGTTTTAGCTGTCTTTGTTTTCATACTGTATGTCTGATTTTTACTTATGCCCACCACTATGTATGTCGTCGATGTGGTTGTTTTAAAGTGCTTTATAAATAAAGTTGAGTTGACAATTCAGTTGAATGAAATTAACAGTGTTCTAATTTATCAAGTTGCACCACGACATGTGTCAGTAACTTTTTATAAATGGTGCCAATAACGACAGTGAAGGACTGGGTCTAACCTGTGGACGCAGCCAAATGATGTGGCCCTGCAGTCTGGAGATGGGCGTGGAGCTGTCAGAGAACAGAGAGGAGTCATCAGGGGGGAAGTCCAGGTCCTCGAAGAGACCACCTCCATCACCACACTCTGTCCTTTTTCCTGCCCTCATGGCTCCAACCTGCTGTATGTTGAGTCCTCTCAACCATCACCGCCTTCAATACCATTTCACTTGTAAAATAGGACAAATAAACCACAAATTACAATCACTGCTTTGCAAATACAGTATCTTCGTCTGAGGTGAAGCTATCCTTTTTTGTTGGCGGGCCTTGAATGCCAATCATGCACCATGAAAACAGAAATTGCATCTTTCTGCTTCCCTTCCATTACATCTTCCAAAAGTCTAAGTGTGCTTGTATTCACTAACATTTATTATTGAGTGTAAATGCCAAAATATGCATTTGATGACTTACGATTTGTGTAAAGTGCTAATTCGCACACGATCAGTTACGTCACGCCAGTCTGTCATGGCAATGTGCACACAAACCCCTCCATTACAATGACAGGTGACAGAAGGGGTACTGTAATTACAACTTAATTACATATTCTAAGCATTAGCACGTACTAGTGACAGACGACGACGTGTTCCAATTTACCTGCACAATCGGGCTACGTCGCTGCCATAGCAACGGAATGTCGTCCGAAACCGATAACTCTTGTACAGCGCTTTAAACGATTCCGCCCATTGAGAGTGAAAAAGGCTAGATGTCTTCATTAGCCCCATCTGCAGTAATGCAAACCGGATTGTTTTCATTCTCACCTGCTTCGAGCAGCTTCTCCCTCGTCGTCATATCATCATAGCGGCTAACTAGTGTTAGCCTGTACACTGGAAATGATACACTATGTCCACACAGACTCATCTTGTTATGATTTAGGAGCTGTTGTATTTCACAAGATTGTACATCAATGTGTGATTTGTCTTAAATCATAAGAGCCGTGTTACATCACTGAGTGTCAACAAAAAGTGTGAAAATAAAATCACTTCCGGTCGGACAGTTCGTTCAAGCGCATCCTTCCTGTTCTGTTCAACACCGCTGCCACCTACTGTTGGTGTGGTTTATGACATGTTCCGCCAAAAGACATCGAAAGAGGTCGTCGTTTTACCTTTTAAATATGGTTTAAATAAAAGTAGAATTATTTTTCAATAATTTTTGTCGGTGTATACATTCGAAACATTTTAAAAAGTAAAGATTTTAAAGATTCTCTTTATTGTCAGCCATGCAATATTCGTTTTGAACAAAGAAAAAAACGTCTCTGCATACAGTAAAATATTGATAATATATTAGGATTAAATACGTAAAATAAATGTATTCATTCACTCATTACTACATATTTATCACATTGGGAAGACATAAAAATTATTATAAATATATGACTATATTATTAATAACAAACAACTCTGGTTTAAACGGGCCTCTTGTTGGTTGTTTTGATGATCATGTTAATATACTGTAATTTTTAAAAATGTAAACCTGAAATGGCATTACATGATACATGTATGTCAGCACTGAATTTCTACCTAAAAACTTCATCATACTTCAAATACTCTTCCACTCGATGACAGAAAGTACATGCATGGGTATGCATCTGTTGCCATTCATACAGCAGTGTTCAACTAAACAAGCTCAGTAAATTGGGACGAAATTATTATTATTTCTTTGTACTGCTCGTGACATTATTTTAGGTGATTTGCTGTGTTCAGTATAAAATATGTGTACCTGGAACAATCTCAGTTTGACCTCATCTCATGATTTTCGTCGCAGTTGTGTAAGAAAATGAACACTAGATGGCAGTGGAGAGACACAAGGGTCAGCTTTCAATTGCCGTCTGTGAAAATGTGCACGTGAAATATGTATTTTTTGTAATTACTTTGCTTTAAAATTGAGCAGCATTTTCCTTTCATGATCCTAAAGGTGGCGTGAGAAATTTAATGCTAATTTGAATATGCTGTTATGAATATGTCAAATAATAACACCATCTTCATCCTCCCTCTCCGCCTCCTGGTTCCGTACTTTGCTGCTGGCACCGCCATCAAAGCTGCGCAAACGTTTTTCGCCCGTCGCATGAATCCATCCCAAATGACAGTTAGGACTCAGGAGGCACGCTCACAGCCACGGTTACATCACCTCCACTCTTCTGCACCAGCGCACAGAGTGCTTTTTGATGAATAATACAGAGCGACGGGCGAGAGCGGGCCTTGGACGTTATGGCTCGGTAGATGACAGGGGGGGGGGGGCACGTACCATTTGTGAAGTCATGAACAAATAAAAATACTCACAACTGGGAGTTGTAGGTGTGACTTTATTTCAAAACAGGGACACTTACATGGAATGACTTGTTTAAAAGAAAACGAGGGAGTGGTACTTTTTATGTCACGATATCTATTTTACTCTATGTAAACTTATGGTAAGCTAATGTATAATGTTATGGTAATGAGCTGAACAAGTTCGAGAAACCCTAGTTTACGCGCGCACATGCGCCAACACCCAGAGGAAACCGTGTCATGAAAGTCAAACACACACAACGGGAGGTCCTCAATTGTGAAGTCCAAAATGACCCCGTTAAAAGCTACACCGGAAAGCCTATCTAACAAACTCGACTAATTCTAGCGTTTATTTGTTCCTCCGGTCCATTACAGCCAACGTAAGACAGGCAGTTAGCATGGAGCTGAGCGAATGCACTGTATAATTAGGCGAACAAAAAAGAGAGGGATGCAACATCTGAAGGAGAAGAGGCTCCAGATGATTACACATTCACTCCGCTTCCTTCCCCCTTGCTGCACACAGAACCGCCAATTAGATGAGAGGTGGATGAGGACAAGCGAGCAGCCAGAAGTCTATCTGTGTCGCTATTTCTCCTGCTCCCCGAGACTCACGGTCGAAGAATACAGAAGTGAAAAACGAGAAGGTAATGAAGAAAGAAATCACAGCCTTTCACATCCGGTTGGGAAGATTGGCCGAGACTGGAGTCAAGGCAGATCTGGGCCACAGTTGCACTCATTGTTCAGTGAGCTTTTCTACACAGTCCAACCCAGCGACAGCAATGAATGTTGATTGTGACCTTTTAGGTCGGAACCACAGGGTGACTCTTGTGTGTGTGCGGGGGGGTGGAGGGTGGGGGCTCGGGGTGCAGAGGGTGTGCGTGCTTCAGGATTTGCATGCGCCCACTCGCCCGCCCGTTACGGCCGGAGGGCATTCTTCGCTCTTTGCTGACGTTGTCGGGGCAAACCTCAGGGCACAGTCAACGGTCGATGGTTTCGATGCGATCCATACCAAACTCACCGACAGCGTTGAATGTTCTCCGAGGCAAGCGGGACGGCGGCGCTGAACAGGATGTGGCTCCAACCACAGAGGAGGAGCGGGTTATGACTCATGCACGCTTAAACAGGAATACAAACGAAGACGCTTTATTGCATTACAGTGTTCCCCCGCAACATTGAAGATTTGTCACCAACTGTTTTTTTGTGGGGTTTTACGATCTACAGTACAGTGGTCATTTGTGAAACGAAATTATGTGGTTTGGGTGAATATTCTGATGTTTAATTATTCAATGTTTAATCGGCTTTTGTATTATGTGGCAGTTTGACAGTCAACCTTAAATGCAATTTATAAACCGCTTCAAGCCAGATGTGCTTTACCGGTTATTTGAGGAACTGTGTGAGAAAGTGAGAATGAGCTTTAAAAAGAATATGCTTTAAAAAGTGTGTTTTAACAAGTTGAAAGGTGTTTAATGCATGTGGGAGGGATTAAAACAATTCTATGGTTTTCACCAAATTCCGTGTGGGTATGGAACGTCTCCCTCGCGATAAACTGGGATTCACTGTATTGCATCACCACCATATTACCACCTGGATCAGAGCTCTGTCAGGTCTCCATTTTCATCTTCAGTGCAATCCCGGATGACAACTGAAAAACACAAAAGAAAGAAGCCTGTGTTTACCCTGAATTGTTTATTTGATTTACATTGAGGGCGGCACACTGGTCGATTGGATAGCATGTCCGCCTCAGAGTGCAGAGGTGGAGGGTTTGATTCCACCCCATGCTTGCGTGGGTTTTCTCTGGGTACTCCGGTTTCCTCCCACATTCTAAAAACATCCATGGCAGGTGAATGGAACACTCTAAATTGTCCCGATGTGTGATTGTAAGCACGAATGGTCGTTCGTCTATATGTGTCCTGCGATTGGCTGGCAACCGGTTCAGGGTGTACCCCGCCTACAGCCCAAAGACAAACTGAATAGGCTCCAGCTCACCCGCAACCCTAATGAGGATAAGCACGACAGCAAATGACGGAATTTTGGATTAAACACCACGCCAGCCGCACGCTCTGCTTGTGATTGCTCATTGTGGCGCAACGACTGCTGTCCAATGACTGACATTTATAGAGTGCCCACTTCCATCATGGCCTAACAAACAACTCGGATTGGCAATAAATTGGACTCCAACTTTAACCGGTTGGTAATATTGAATATCTGTTGTATTTTATAGAAATTGGCTCAGGAAAAAGCCGAATGACTAAACTGAATGGACCTTGAAAACAACAAGAGACTATTTTTTTGTCAAGCTACTCAAAACGGCATGATGAGCGATTGTGAGACGATTGCCTCATGGATTACCAATGAGTCAGATTTTTTTTACGTTAATAATTCATGAATTATTCTCTGTAATGGTTGTATGTGTGTGTGTGGGGGGGGGGGGTTAAACAGTGCAACTTTAACACTGCAAAATGATGTTATTGTTCACACTGGGGATTGGCATAGAAATCGATTCATTGGTGGATAAGAATTTGTATTGTGTGGAACTCAGTGTTGATTAACAACGTCTTGATGTGAAAACATTTTCGGCTATGGGAAGTGAGTCAACATCCATGAGTGGCTGCGGCGTCACTCGTCGGGCAGCATTGATCTGGCACGGAAGCAAGAGCTAGGAACATTCAGAGAAAGTGAAAAATGGTCACACTCCACCAATACGGTCAAAAATCTGTAACGACCATTGGCAAAGTAATTGGTAAAATACAGTACGAACAAATGAAAATCGTCAATGTTTGTTGTGTGAATGGAGACTGGAAATGATCAAAATCATCATACATCATTGTCATTTTCATCGGAAAGTCCCCCCAAAACATATTCTGTAAACGACATCAGGCGCGACATTGTTTGGAATAATATTCGAGGTTGTCATGGTTCTTATGGACACATAAACTGAGGAACAATGATGCCATGTCCTGCTGGGCAGCCTGGCCTTTCATTCGTTGAGAGCTCCTATTGTCACAAGCGGGCTTTTGCGCCGGGGGGAACAACTATCAGCAGTGTCACCCCACCGCGCCGCGCCGGCCCGGGGGCTGACGTCAGGGTGCCCAATGCGCATCTATGAACATTTGTTCACCCCCCTTTTTTATCGGCTTAGGTTGGTGATGTCAATGTGTGGGGGTGGTGGTGGCGGGGGGCGGCAAATGTCAGCCCACAGCGCCAACATGCTCTCCGCCCCACGGATGAGAAATGTATCACGTTATTGCAGCTATAATTCAGAAAGCCATAAAGGAGAGACAATTGGCTCTTTGACTTACTGCTTGTGCACACTCCATCCCTTTGTTAATATGACAAAGGAATACATTAGCCTATAAGATGCTACATTTAGAGTAAATAAAACATTCGTGTCAAACACTAACGGCCTGCCAGATGAAAGGTTTTCCTGACCGCCACCAGACACGAAAGCACAAAGGCGAAAGGTATTGTTGTCCTTTCTGAATTGATTGGTCTGTATAGAAATGAGCGGGATGATTCAAAAAACGTGACTACTAATTTTCGATGAACGTTGTTTAGAGGTGGCACACGCGCGCAGAGCGATATTGTGTCCCTTTACGGCATACGGTCAATGAACAACCACGCCTTTCGCATGACTTTGTCGAACGTAGCCGTGACAGGTTTTTATCCGCGGCAACATCAGCTTTTAGCGTGAAACATCTTAACTTCCCCTTGAGACTTGGCGAAAAAGCTTCAAGGGCCGAACTTCATGTCGAAATGTAGTCCAGCAGGGGAGGCGGCAGTAAAAGAGCATCCACTGTTCGTCTTGCGGAGATCATCCAGATCATTCCAAGGGGCTTTCGGCCAAGTCGTTCCAATTTGAAATCTATGCTAAGCCTCCTGTCAAGAGTTCAAGAGAGATCTTGTGTTGGTAGTAGCTAAAGAGAGTGTACAAGAGTCTCTTGAGGTCAGGCCCAATGAGCTTGTTTCTGGACACCACTTCATGGTCCGATGGCTTTGGTGAAAGAGAAAGTCTTGAAAGAGGAGGCTGGTGCGCAGACCTGCCTGTTGGAGCATGGACGTGCCTTTCACGACACATTGCAAATGTGCCCGTGAGTGATCGATTAAAACAAAGGTTTGGGAAGGTCGAAAAGCCACTTCGGGCTCACGTTAGGTTGAACGGCAAGTTTCTAATTTTGTTGCCTGTTGTAGGATCACCACTTGAAGGAACGATTCTCTCTATCGATCTCTACACACACACACACACACACACACACACACACACACACACACACACACACACACACACACACACACTTAAATGCCACATTGAAATGGCAGATAACTGCACCATATGGTGAGCAGGTGGGCCACTCCTGCCACAGCCTAGCAAACCACCATGTAACTTCCTCGAGTAATACTCGTCTGTCAAGTGTGGCACCAGGAAACTTTCCTCTCTTCCCCAGGCAAGCCACTCCAGGCGAGCGACAAAAGCGGTTCGGGAAGAAGTGGGTGGGAAGAGGCGTCAGCTGCTAGACAAAATAAAAAAAAAAAGGCTCTTTTTGTTCCCAACAATAAGCGATCTTAGGAGCGCTTCCGCAGCTGCAGCCAGATAGGCTTTCATTTGCAACTTCTCCTTTCCTCGACCGGGAGGAGATTTAAAATGGATGATAAAATTCAGGGGGATTAGAATCGTCTATCCAGCAAGAAATGGGGACACAAGTGAGAATTAGCAAAAAGAAAACGCTGGTAGGACTGTGGGAGTGGAATCAAACGATGTGCAAGTCGGCAAATCCTTTTACATACAGTGGAAAATAATTCGTATTGCAGCACTGCTTTGCTTCAAAGTTGTCCTAATTTTCAAAGATAGTTTTCCAACAGAAATAACGTTGCACGAGTCAAACCTTCATGAAATCGCAATGTTACAAGATTTAAACACTCCTAACTTCTACACAAGCGTGGATAGAAGTTAACCACTGAGTACAGTGTTACCCGACCTATTTGTGATTCGCCGATCCACTCTAATTTGCTTGCAAATTTGGTGCCATCCTGTGGCACTTTGGTGCCAAGAAACTACAACATGCTCAAGTGACAGGAGTGGTTTCTATTAGACAAGCCAAAGGCATTTGACTTTCGCAGTTCCACCGCATTTCACAAATGAATGATTTTCATTTGAAGTGCTCGGAGCACAAGGTGATAAATATCTGGAGTATCTTTTCGGAAATCCCAAAATGCACTTCCTGAGAGGGTGAGCCAGCGACCGACGAGGGGGTGGGAAGGAGGAGGTGCCCATGGTTTGTCTCTGGGGTGGTCTGACGCAGGAGTGGGAGAGGTTTTAATGTAGCGGCATGTCCAGTATATACTGTACATTTGCACTTAATGACTACCAGACCTCCGGATTGCCTCTGGGGGCCTCATACAGCCCCCTCCACCTCCCTCTCAAAATGCCTACACATGCATATGCTTCACTTTAAAGGCGGGACGTTGACTAAATGCGTTGTGCTGCTGCTCCCAGGGAAAATAGAACACAAGCCACAGTTTTCATAAAAGGCGACCTAAATATTCTAAGTATGTGCAGTAATTACAGTCTCCGTTTTTTTTTCTTTTTTTCCATATGTAGTTCTGGCTGCACACACTCAGGCAAACCTGCACAAAGACGTACTCTAACCTGACCTGTAGTACAAAAACGACCAGAAAAAAAACACAATCAAATTGTAAAACTAACAGTACAAGCTGTCACGGTGGTTGACCGCTTAGCACGTCGAACCTCACAGCGTAGAGGTGCAGGGTTCGATTCCAGCTCCGGCCCCCCTGTGTGGAGTTTGCATGTTCTCCCGGTGCCAGGGTGGGTTTTCTCCGGGTACTCCGGTTTCCTTACACATTCCAAAAACATGCATGGCAGGTTGATTGAACACTCTAAATTGTGCTTAGGTGTGATTGTGAGCGTGAAAGGTTGTTCGTCTCGATGTGCCTTGCGATTGGCTGGCAACCAGTTCAGGGTGTCCCCCGCCTACTGCTCGAAGACAGCTGGAATATGCTCTAGCACGCCCGTGACCCTCGTGAGGATAAGCGGATCAGAAAATGGATGGATGAATGGTTAATAGCACGAAAACACAAAGCCTAAATACTGAAGCGGGGTACAAACATACTGACAATCAGAACTTGTTTCATCATTTTTCCTCTCTTTACCGATCAGTCAGCAAAGGTCTGATTGTCGGATGTCTCTGAAAGAGTGGTTCTTATGTATAATATTTAAAATTTTAATACTACTGAACTGTATTTCCCAAATGCAGTGTACTAATTAAAAAAAAGTGTTTACCACAAACATCATTAGAAGTACCGGTACTACAGTTTGAGAATCACTGTAAAAAGACTGTCCTGAGCGATTCTCCTGTGGTGTAGTGTGTGTTAAGGGAGAAGTTTTGCCAGCACATTGGTTACAAGATAAGATGACAGTTTGCTTTAACAACTTATTTTTTTTCACTACTTGAATTACTCCATAGTGCCTCTCAAAGGTCAGCCTTGGTACTACAATTGATATTGTGGGCAGTGTTGGTAATCTCCAGTACACGACAAACTATCAGAGCAGCAGGTATACACATGCCACTTTTTTCTCATCCTGTGTGAGGCCTCTCACAACTAAAAAAAAATTTGTCAGAGTGTTAAAAATGCTTAAGGAGACAAATGAACATTACAAGAGGGCAAAATTGCCAATAAAGAGAAAAGGAAACATTGTAACACAAGGTGCGGAGTGTGCTCAACAAGTGCGACGACACAAACCAAAAACAAAGACGACTCGCTGGTGCCTTGGGACTGATTGGCAGGGTGGGGGTCACCGGGTGACCCACGACCTTTTTAACCCCGGAGGAATGTTGTCGTGCTGGTGCGCGTATTGTTCCTGCCTCCCCGAGGAGACTCAGCCATGCATCAGATGGATGTGAACATAGACTGCTCCTGAGAGCTTCTTCTTCTTCTTCATGAAACCCCCTCGTACCCCACAAAAAGCATCTCTTTCTTCACCACAATCCTTCCTTTTCTGCTCCTCACCCCAAGATTTGGACAAACAAAAGTTATCAACAAGTCTGAGAGTGGGATGTTGTTGTGCGTTCCGTGTGCACATGCATGCAGAAAGGTCGCTGACCTGTTTTTTTTTTTTTTTTAAGCATCCAGAATGCAGATAAAGTACTGTGAAACCTTCAGGCGCCATGATGTGTTGCCAGAGGAAGTCGGTGGTGCGAGAGGGAAGGTTGACAAGACGAGAGAGGCCGACAGACAATTACTGACCAGGTATGTCTGCCCATCTAGGGTTGGTCAGAGGAAATGGAAGAATTTATGATGTCATAAAAAAGTGCCAGCAGAGAGGTGCCGGAGAACAGGTTGTCTCTGGAGCTGGAGCCATAAAAAGACTCCTGCGGTTTCCGCTCCCTCCCCCTGACCACCACATGAGATGATAACAGTCCGCTGAGCGCCAGTAGCTCAGTGCAGAGTGCATAATTCAACTGGGAGCATGTGATAATGTAGGGCATGGATTGATGGGGACTCTTAACACTCAAATCTTCTCTCATCTATCACAGTGTAAACTACAGTTATATTAAACCTTCACTTCGCTTTCACAGATGCCCACGCCTGAGTTCTGCAATTAAGATTCAGGCATTATCCAATGAGAAAAAAAGGCCAAGCATTCAAAACACATAAATCCGGGATCTGCGCCTTTATTCAGATCCAAGCCGAATATGCCCCAAATTTTCCACTTTCTTGCCAAATTCGGTTCAATGCATTTTTACTCATCATATTAAACAAACGTATGTAGATGAAAACATAAACTTTAATATTTTAGTTGGTACTTGTTAGCATTACTATTGAAAACATTCTAGTGTATATACTGTATACAGCATCTTCTCAGAAATTACCGCATTACTTCAGATTTTAACGGACAATTTTACCCGAGATAAAGACTGAAATACTGGCATGAAAGTATCATTTTATTAAAGCATCCTTACAAGTCACTGAGCGCTTACATTTTAATCGACATGTTTCAATATATAACATATAGTGTACGAAGCCTCTGTATTCTTTTCAATATAGAATACATATCGTTAGACTACCAGCGCAATTGCCTAATTCATTTTTAACTTAATTTATTGTCACAATATCAGTCCAAAAAAAAAAAAGAAATACCAATGACTGCCAAGACTTTATTTTTAAACATATTTTAAAATATTATTTTTAAATATGTTAAATTATTTTAAAATATATTTTAAAATGACACAATATCACCGTGTACTGCTTTCATTCGTTAACTTTTGCCTTATTAAGATAGCAATAACTCAATCTTGCTCCAGGGGTAAGGAAAAAGCGAAATGAATATGCTCTGAAAGTGATGTCAACGACATCTGGTCCTCTTTGCGAGCAAACACTACTTCGTATACACGCCGGTGCACTTTCTCCTCTGAAAAGTTGTTTAAAAAAAACAAAAAAAAAGAGAGAAAGGTTATTTGCTTGACATCCTCGCTAAGGAGGTCTCCCATTGTAAAAAGGAGTGGCTGCACAGCCCCTTTTCCTTTCATCCCTCTGTTGGAGGCACGCTGCCTTTGTCACCCGGAGGACTGAACAAGCAACCTCTGGGCTATGCTACACTGGTCAAATACCTGGGAACTACCATCGTCCACGGTGGGGAAAAAAAAAAAAAAGAAGAAGTAGGAGGAGGAGGAAGCGGGACCGTAAGAGACGTGGAAGGGGGTGGGGCGTAAGGTGTGAGTTTTACCCTCTGGTATGGCAAGACTGGACGGCTAGAAGGAATACAAGCTGCTATTACATCTCCAGTAGGAAGAAGGAACGAAGAGCACCTGGAACCAAACAACTATCACAACCAACGGATGTCTAGATTTTGTTAAAAAAAAAAAAAAAAACACCACCACCAACATCTGTTTTTTTGTCTGTCATTTGAGAAAAGTAGAAAGCGCGAGGGAAATTAGGATCCTGCACCCCCCCGCCCCCAACCTTTCACACACTTTCACGCCAACTCAGCAGTGCAGCGCCACTTCCTGTACATGAGGGACCGTATAGGGGCGAAGTGAGTTTAAGTCCTCACCAAAGCGACCGCAGCCAGCCCCGATGTAAAGCTTTACATTTCCAGTCTGCACAGGCAGTCTGGGCAGACAGACCTCTCTGTCACACCTCATAAAGCAGAGCTCAAGCAGGAGGCTTGTTTGAACCCGGAGGGCATGGGGCGGGGGGGTGGTTTGGCTGAGGGGCCGTCGGTGCTGGGGTTAGATAAGGCAAAATAAGGACAAAAAAAAAGGAAGAAAATATAGAGATGTCCAAGCTTCCACGTTACACGCAGAAAAACGGGAACATTCCTGCGTTAAGTCTTTAATTGTGTCCTCGTTTCAAGTCTGTGTCTAATTGTCAGAAGGAGAACGAGGAGCCATCCGTTTATTTTCAAACAGTCCACAAAGAATGCTTGTCATTTCCTGGCGTTCCTCACTTCCATATGAAAGCCCCCCTTTCCTTGAGGAACAATGGGAAAGATTCCAAAATTTCCATGGGGAGTTTCTTGCGTGACCGCATAATAGCGAGCGTGTTGGGACGGGACCCGAGAGCGCCCGCCTGTGCGTGGACAGAGTTACGCCGCCGCGCCATGATTAAAGCGGCCGCGGCGTCTCGTAAATGACCTGGGAATGTCGGGGAGTTTTATTGGGCATGGACGAAGACCGAAACCGAGAGCAGATGTTCCAAGTTTAACGGGTTTCGCGCACCTCCCGACCGACTGATCTCTGAGTCGCGGGGAAATTACACACCCTTGGCGTAAGAGTTTCTTCATTAAGCAAAAGCAGCAACCGGTTCAAATGTCAAACTATGTTAGGCCCTTGAAAGCCACCCGGCTTGACCTTGGCAGACTTGAGCCTGTGGCTAGACATAAGGTCGGAGGTCAGCCACTCTTCTAGATGGGCAGTATGCCATGACGCCTAAGGCAGGGCACGCGGGGGGGGGGGGGGGGGGGGGGGGGGGGTATCTCCATTACCTAACTTTTCCATTTACACAGGGAAGCACTAAACACACATATGGACACGAATTCCTATGAACTCGTTGACCGTCTGACATCATTTACCTGTGAGGGCCCTTCGCGCCATCCAAGTTGTCTGTGCGAGAAGTGCCCCACCACATGCCTGCATTTTGGGGTCCCTGGATGATGTCTGGTATGGAGAAAGGAAAAAAAAAGAAAAACGATTTTAAGGACTCTTTCCACTTTTGGTTCATGCACCCCAATGGGCAACTTTGCTTTGCAGTGTTCTGCTGCTATATTGCAGTTCATCATTCCAATGCCTTCTATCTCGTTTAAGGTCACATCTCACTGAGCGTCGAAAGTTTGCAAGTGTGTGCGCACCTAGCGAGTGTTGTTTTTTTTCGTCAGGGTTCGTTCAAGGTCGCAAAGTCATTCTGCAACAATTTTATTGGTCTCAAACAGTTTTTCTTGTTGCAAAGAAATATTGAACATGTTAAAAATTTGACGGTGATAAGAAACTATTACAAATGTTTGGGAATGTTTGGTGAACGTCTGACCCAAAAAATAAATAAATAAATAAAACATTAGCGGCATGCGCACACTTGTAAATTTTAGCCGCTCAGTGAGACACGACCTCTATGTGTTTTTACAATCTACTTACTTACTGTATTGTCCTCACATCTGGGAAAGGCGAGCCATAGACGTTGATGCATTTTTCAGACATTTATTGAACGTCAAGGAGAACACAAACACATTCACGCAGGAGTTGCTGTTGATCTGAGCTAACATTCTCTTACTGACACGCAGACATCACATGCTACTCTATCATACCAAACCTCTGAAAGGCTCATTCTCATTGTTTTTTTTTAATCGCTCTCTGGCTTTCCTTTCATTCCTGTTAAATATTATCCACGGTATCTCTTAAGGGTTTGTTTACTGCACTTCATTGCCTCTGATCTGTACTGTGTGTATGCATGCTAGGGCAAAAAAACAAAACAAACAAACAAAAAAAAAAAACAACAACACCTTAGGGCTGATGCTCCCTGTGTACATTCTGACAATGACAGCATCACTGCCACCGAGTGTCGTGGATGTGCAATTACTTGTGTGCCAAACGAGTACGCTTATATCAACAACCGCCAAAATGAATTTTTACTCGCATTTGATGGTGGATTGGCAGAAGTTAATTTAGAACCCTGTATATAGTATTTTCGAAACATTATTTTTGTTTGCAAGTAATCTCTCTCTCTCTCTCTCTCTCTCTCTCTCTCTCTCTCTATATATATATA